CATGCCTTTCTCAGTAAGCTTAATCATTTCTAGCTTTTGATTTAAAGTGACAGATGTGTGACTCTTCCTCTCACTTGAACACTTAGAAACCACTGTAGGGATTTTAATTGGTCTAATTTTAATATTGTTAAAATTAGAGAATAGGAAGGCCCAAGAAGAGGGAGAGAGACAAGGAAGTGGCCTGTCAGTGAAGCACAGAGAACACAAACATTGATTAAATCTGCTGTCTTATATGGGTGTGGTACATGGCACCCTGAAACAACTACAATAGTAGCATCAAAGGTCATTGATCACAAATCACTGTAGCAGATATAATAATATTAAACTGGAAATCTTGTGAATTATCAAAGTGTGACATAAAGACGGGAAGTCAACATATGCTGTTGGAAAAATAGTGTCAATAGACTTGTTCTGTCATGGTTACTGCAAAACTTGTGTCTGCAAAAATGCAGTATCTGCTAAGTGCAATAAAATAAGTTGTCCACAGATAAGTATGTAAAGAGGATTCTTACTTCATGAGGCAATTTCTTCACCTTCAAGCATGAATCTTTACAATAATATTGACAGATGGCTCTGCTGTTGCTTTCTGGAGCAAATCACAAAGTGATTTGAAACTATTACCCGTAAAGATATCAGCCTACTTTTTTTTTTTATAGAAGATAGTTTGATTTTCCTCAATTAACTTAAAAAGGTACTACATTAAGTATAAAATGTATATGTAGTGCATAGAAAACGATTTTTGGAGAAGTGAGAAATGCATTCTTTGGGGAATGCACTCTGTTTCAAATCCAGTCTCTGCCACTTACATCCAAGTGATCTTGGCCAATTCCACAGTTTCTCTGTGCCAAAGTTATCTTATTGAACACAACAGTAACCAACCACATATGGTTACTGAGAAGATTAAATAATGTATTTCATGTAAAATGCAGAGAACAGTATATAGCACATTACAGATGTTCAAATAACAGTAGCTATCATAATTATTGTTGCAGTTGCTGTTGTATATGTGCACTACAGTTCTACTTTTGGACATCATTTGGCGCTATCTGTACCTTGAAGGTACCAGAATTCATCAAGTCATTTGGATTCCACAAATACCAAACCATCTAAATCAAAAGTAAAACAAAACAAAATATGTTTTTGAACTATAACTGTTCAAGGAAAACACTTAAAAATAAGAAACTTTTTCAGATATTTAAATGAAAGATACATAAATATTCTGTGTTATGCAGTATGAAAATGTGCTTTCTACATTGTTGCTTCAGTTGTTTTAAAAAAAATTGTTTTCATCTAGAAGGCACTAATAGAGAAACAAAAGAAAAAAAGTAAAATGAGAATCACCCTTACTAAGTATATTTTACTGAATCACGAGAGAAATATTCTTCCTGTCACATGACTTTTCCATACCTTTCTATTTGAACTATTTCTTACATCTCTTTGCCTTTGAACTAAATAAGCATAATCAAGTATTTATAAATAATAGCAATGATATGCTAGGTAATATGTGTGGAGTGCACATGAATGCCCAACACTATTGCTTCATGTGTATTATCTTGCAAGGCCTTCACAATGAATGCATGAGGCATTATTATTATTGTCACTTTATAGATGGAGAAACTAAGGCACAGATAATTTTGAGAACTTGTTCCAATGTAGCTATTAAGAAAAATGGCTGCCACTGAATCCCTATGGAGTATGCTGTTAACCAATGTGCTTCACTTTCTCTAAAGCCAGCTGTCCAGAGCATGGCCATAGTGCCACACCCCTGCTGATTATAATTGGCTATTTGGCTTGACTGGCCATCTAACAATAATCTTCCTGGTTATTTTTTTTACAGAATTCCATTTTTAACTGTTCTGTTTTCTAAATATATTTTATATCATAAAAACAGTCATAAGCACAAAGAATGAAGGTTACTTGAGTCTGACTTCCTTCACACCGAGAGGTATGGTGAGTAAACCTTCCATGCACAGATGATGAGTCAAGAGAAACATCTGTATATCGCTAATGTCTAGATTTACTAAAGTGGACTATAAACTAATTGAATCAACTACTAAACACATCTCCACTACTGAAGACACCTATCTCAGTTTGTCACAGCTTGGTGGGGATAAGTGATTACCATTATGATGCCTTCACTACACTTCTGGAATTTCTATTTGTATCTGGAAAACATTTCTTTGTGTTTCTTTTTAATTCTCTTTAGTGATGAATAGTCACATGTCAAAGGAAAGGGATTAAATTTTACATAAAGCCAAAATTGATTTAAACAAAAGGATAGTAAAAAAAAGGGATACTTTAACATCATGGCCAAAGAAAGAAAGAAAAAAAGAAAAAGAGAGAAAGAGAAAAAGAGATAGAAACAAGAAAAAGGAAAAGGAGAAAAAGAAAAAACATGTCTTCTCTGTATGACTATAATAGATCCAGAATGTGATGCTGAATAAAATTCACCAGCAACATTTTGAGTGGTATTAAATTGTATTCATTGTAATATGTGAGTAACCTCCACAGATAACATCTAGAAAGTAAAATATATTTTGCTAAAGCTCTGAGAAAAAAATAGTCTCAATTTTATATTATTTTCCCATTTTTTTTTACAAGCAATAAGTAAAAAATCCTATGTCTTTGAATCTCCACAGAAGATAGTGAGATAGTGAAGAAAGCGAGTTTGTTGGAATGTGGACTTTTATTCAAACCTGTTTTTGTGTCCGTCTTTTGATTTCTTAAGCAGCCAAATGCCTCATTTCTGCATACTCTTCTTCCTTGGGCCTGCTGCTCTGGAATTTCTGAATTTCATCCAACTGCAACTGTGGAAAGAGAGTAGTTTTAATAACCGTGGAAACTTACTGTTATTATTCAAACTTTACATTATCCTGAAACCAAAATATTTGTTTGGAAGACACAGCCTTTCATAAGCCTGCATTATCTGACATTTTATTCTTAGGTCCAATTAGCAAAAGCACTCGCTTTCTTTTCAGTGTTTTTCCCACCTTTCTCAGCTAGATCACCTCCTAAGCTGTATTCTTCACCGTCCTTCTCTCCTCCTAGCCAAAAATTTCAGTCCCAGTAAAGAACTCTTTGGGTTGTATTGTTTATGGCAGGATCAGTTTTGCTAATTCTTCCTGAGTGTTCTGAAAGCGTGGCTTGTTTCCAAAGCCAAAATGCAAAATAATGTGATTTCTGTGGTTTCCTGCATGATCCAATTTAAGGCATTTGGAGTACTTACATTTTATGGTGTTAAAGGTATTTTTAAAAATTTTTATTGAAATAATCCCTAAAAATTATTTGCATGGTCAGTAATAGATAAATTATGTGGTCAATTAATGAGTACCATTATAAACATGTGGTTATGTAACCTCTAAACCCAAAGATCTATCATAAATAAATAAAGTGGAATCCAAATCCTATGAGAACAAATTACATGCCTCTAGTTTCCCTTTGAAAACAGCTGTACTGAATCAGGTGGAGGATGAAGGCCAACTACACTTGGCTTTGAGAGTTGGCCTTAATTAGCATCCATGACTCTCACTAAAATTTATGAGGATAAACTTTCTTTGGAAATAATGGTCCCTGCTGTTTTGTTATCTCATGAAATGCTCATTGACTTCCAGAAAGCACTATAATACCCTTGGAGCCTGTGTAGAGAGCATTGGTAGCAACTTCTTCCTAAGGCTTTTCAGGCTTGTATAATATTTTCTCAGACATATTGAATAGCAAATTTCCATGGAATTTATGAATCATTAAATTATGTGTTTTCTTGCTAGGCTGAAGTAATGTGGTGGAATCATTCTGAGTAAAATCAAACATTAAAAAATTATTATGTGTGTTTTCACAGCCATTTATACCAAATGGCAGGTATTAAAGGCTAAGTAATTTTATTTAGCATAAGTACTAGATAGGCTAACATTTTTCAGATAGTCACCACTATCTGAAATCTGAGATAAACTTAAGCTCTGTGAGGTTCACTTTTATCCTGAAAAGAGGAATGTCTTCGCAGACAGCTTGGGATCCATGAACTACCATAACTGTATATTTTCCATTAATTGACTACCTAGAAATTGCCCAATGGTGCTCAAAAGATTGGCTGGGATTACTTAATAATCTACAGATAGAGATGAGCTCAACTTTGATAGAAACCAGTGGAATTTACTGAGATTATTCAAGAATGTTACAGAATGTGAAATTCCATTCAAACCTGCTTTTCAATGGAATAACAAGCTCCACTGAATAACATTGGCTGGTCAAATAATTTAATGTTTAGTTATTATTAAATTATTTTTTAAGAAAGTCAGAAATTTTCTGATTTGAAGTGAAGTAACAATCAGAATGACTTAAATCATACCAAACGGGTCAGCATTTAATTAATTAATCCCATTTTCTTATTTAACATCCTCACTCGTTTACTCACTTATGTCACTTTTGGAGGCCACTTTTAATTCCTATTGAACATGAATAAATGAGTATTTAACAAAGGCTATACTTAATTAGTAGCCTTTACCAATATATTGCAAACAAGCACCTTATTGGACTTTTCTCATGTCAAAGGAAAAATCCTAAATCATTTTACTCTGAGAAATAAAACTTCATCTGTGAATGTTTGATTGGGATCTCAAGAGTTTGCCATTTATAAATAAGATCAGATCAGCCATGAGTATAACTTATTTTGTTCATTTTCAAGTACAACTGTTAATTTTGATAAATTTATATTACACATAACCATAGAAAAGTTTGAAAGTATGATTAAATGAAAACTATCCATAATCACCACGGCATAACTATTCTTCATATTTTGGTATATAGTCACTCACACGTTGTGCTGTGTACATGTGATTGTATATAGAAGTATATATGAATTAATGCATAAATTATAAATCTATAAAATCAATGGAGCTATAAAGTAACTAAATGTACAGTATAAAATATTGTTTAATAAAACATTTTGAAATGAAAACAATTATAATTCTACACTGCTACAATTGCTACCATTTTTTTTTATTCAGTCTCTGTAGAGAATGTCAAAAATTGCCAGTGTCAACTATATTTCAAGTTGTCATAGCGGAGTATTGGGAAAAATTTTCAATTGGTGATAATCGCGCCTCTGATAAACCTCATTGGCTACGATACTGCCACTGCGCAAAGCTTGCTACCATTTTTTATCTTACCTTCTGGTCCATAATCATATTGCTACTTAATTATAAAGATAAAATTCATACTTCGACAACTACTTTGATAAGAAAATTATAACTGCATTTCTGTTATTTTAAGAGAATTCTTTTTACATATATTCATTCCCAATTTATGCAAGAAGTGAAAAACCATGACATTTATATCAGAGGCATTTTAGCCTTTTTGGGTGATAACTCAGTAGACTTATAAAAAGCAATAACATAAAAATTCCAAATATCTGATTTCCATATGGGAAGCAGCTGCTCTTTTTCTTGTGAGTAAAATAAAATTTGTGTGCTCTCTACTCTATCTGGCTTTCTGTGGCCCTGACAATTGAAATCTCATTCCTGCTCGAATGCATCTTTGAGGGTTGGTGATAATAGAGATGTATTTACTAATATTTATTTTGTGACAAGCACTGTACTATGCAGTTTACAGATAGAACCTCATTTAATTCTCAGACCAACATTTTAACGACAAAGGAACTAAGGCTTAGAGAAATCACATATCTTATGCAGAATCACACAAATAATAAAGGATAGAGCCAGGATTTTTGTCTCCTTGATGCCAGAGGCTTGATCACCAGCACTGCATCCGTCTGGGTAGCTACACTTCACTGTTGCTTGGGAGATTAGTAATTGGATGTCTTCTGCTGGAACCTCCATATCCTATCAGCTGTCCTGCAGCTTGGGGTAAATTCTTCTGGCTTTCAGAAAGTGGCCTAACCTTGGGAAATCTATAATTATACTCCTAGGAAAGCTCCTGACACACTTTTTTCTCCTAGTGATTCATTCTTATATCTGGGTTAAGTACCTTAAACTAATCCCCCATGCAGACTCAGTCATTACCTACTTCTACCTTATTTCTTCCCCCTAGAGCTGTAAGTTTATGTCTCCCCTCAAATCAACCTGCCCATACTTATCTCATCTTCATATTCTTAGCCATTTGAGACATTTGGGGGGCTCCTCAGAAATTTCCAAAGCAACTCAGTTCCCTAAAAGTGGTCCGTATAGTTTTCTAATTGCTGAGGTCAACATTTTTGGAGTCAATTGCAACACAGTGAACATCTGACAAAACCGAATGGAATTCACTTCACACTTTTTGAAGAAAAATCATTTTAGGATAATACTTATTAATTTGGAAGTAGAGTGCTCAATAATGCAAGCCATTTTTACAATGATACTTAAAATTTAGCTGATATATTTTAATAATCCATGTTATATATTGACACTGGAGCCCAGAACTGAATTCATCTCAAAATTATGAAATATTTTTGGAACTTAAATAATCAAATAGGCATTAAAACAAAGACAAAATAACTTTTATACACACATATGTATACATATATTTTACTTGTTTTGGTCTAGGTCAATATATGAATGTCAACATTCCATACCTTGGCTATGTAATTATCTTATACAGAATGTTCAGAAGCAAAATAATGCAATTTTTGGCTTGCTATTTCCTTTTAATTGTTCTGATTTCTGAAGTTTCTTCCCTGCCTGAGCTAGACAAGTGATCATTTTTAAATCCATAATTACAAGGTCAAAAATAAATCTCCCCAAACTGGGTCAAAATCTATTTGTTATTGTTTCAGATACCCTATATAAGTGAACTCATGCAGCTCTAAAGATGTCAAATTCATAGAAACAAAGATGATCCCCTTTGCCCTGTTACCAGAATGATGGTTACCAGGAGCTGGAGAAAGGGAGATAAGGTGAGATGTTGATCAAGAGGTACAAAGTTTTGGTTATTCAGGATATAAGTAAGTTCTAGAGATCTAATGTACAACAATGTGCCTATAGTCAGCAATAATGTATTGTGTTGCATATGTGAAATTTGCTAAGAGGGTAGATCTTCAGTGTCCTTATCACACAAAAAAGTAACTCTGTAAGAACATGAATGTGTTAATTAGCTTGATTGTAGTGAATATTTAACAATATATGTATACATACATTGTATACATACATCAAATAATCAATTTGTACAACCTGAATATATGCAATTTTTAATTATTGATCATACCTCAGGAAAGTTGAAAAAAATATTTATTTGTTGTTTCTGGTAGCATCTTTTATTTTCTTCCAAGAACCATGCAAAAAAGCTACCACGAAGAACAATAAGAGGCAAATAAAATCTCAAACCTAAGAATTATGTATAGTTTCACAAATTGAAATCTTACCAGAATTAAACATCCACAGACCACGCTGGTCTCTAATACTAATGTTAATCCTATCCAATAACATTTAGAAGATGTAACTAAGATCAAGTGGACCTTTTTAAAACCTTCACATAAAAGATGACTTAAACAAAATACTGATTAATATACAAAAAAAGGAAGAGACATGGGCAAATTAAGTGGAAAAAAAATCTGGAAGAGTAATGGTAGTTTATTATGATCAGTGATGAACCTATCTATTTACAGCTTTTAGGGAAAGAAAATATTTTTTTCTGACCACAGCTGAAGAGAGATCCTGACAGAGCTTTCCTGCTCCCCATCTCCCATGTCATCAGTATATTCTGGGAGAGGAATCTAAGGTGGTTTTCCAGCTAAGTGGTTACAGCTGTTTCCACAGTCTCAGTCAGATGGAGTTTCTGTTCATATTGACTTTGGCTGAAATCTTTCCCTGGAGCCCAGCAGCATAAGAGCATTTGCTCTGAGGCCTGGGACTCTGGACAAACATTCCAGAGTTTCTGAGTTCTTAACATTAACATTTGATGAATTCTTCTCTTAATTTCTTCTGGAAAAAAGTCAAAGATAGTGGATGATCCCCTTTACCCTGTGACAACCATAATATTTCCCCCACACATATAAATTCTTTATATGTAGTGAAAAACCTGAAAAAATAATAACATGCGCAAATGATGCCAATTCATGAAACTATTCATTCTTTTAAATATGTTTCAACACATTTTGACAGTTTTCTGAAATACCAGACTCCTTTGAAATTTTTTAAAATGAAGGACAAAAACAGGCTTTAAAACAAACCCTGAAACAATTGTGTCAAGGACTCTATGAGAAACTTTGAAATGTAGTTACAGAGTTAATTAAGGAGGTCAAACTGTCATAATCGTACTGAAGTAGAATAGCATTTTTAATGTTATTTTGCTTAAATCTAATGCCCACTTTCAGTTACTTTCTATTGTGGGTCCTCATATTAATCAAGAGGCAAAATTAAAGATAGATTCTTCAACATATGATAAATTGAACACAAAAATTATTATAAAGACATCTTTAGGAAAAGGTTAATTTTTGTTAACTGGCTGGCATCAAATAGGTCCAAACATATAATGGATGAAACCTGCTTTCATTTGGTATAGCAATAGAGGCATATAGATTTTGGTTTCTATGGAAGGATTTCAGTTGTAAATAAGAGAGAACATTCTGGCAAGAGTTATGGAAATGATAACTTGGATAACAAAAAGAACCTTAGAATCATTTGCCTAGCAAGTTCTAAAAGTGTGCTTTCAAAAATGATTTTTAAAAATCAGCCAGGATAGTCAAGGTAGGTATTAAAATAGTAATAAATAGCATTTCCAAGTTCCATCAAGTTCACTACTGTAATTATGTAAGGGTATATTAAGATATAAAATGGCTACATGTAGGGTAAATTTATTTTATATACACACACGTGCACATACAGATTGGCAAATTTTATATATGACTACAGTATCCTAAATGTTTTTATATATGTATTCTTTAGAAAAGAAACTTTGTTAGGGCATAGCCTTTGTTTTTTATATTGATTTATTAAACCAAGTGCACAGCAAATAACATAGAATCTGTGACTATTTTATTTGCAACATTATTCTAAGGGTAAACAAGTAAACTATGCATTGGTAATATGACTGTCATTGTTTATACTCCACCTATTTCAGGATATTTAACAGTTTATAAAGTTAACTAATGTTAACTTGAGCAGTATAATATGATGCCTAAAAGAGTGGTCCCAGGAGATAGGTTACCTGGGTTCAAGTCACACCTCATCCCTTAACTAGCTGTTTGACACTAGGCCAATAATTTATCCTCAATATCTGTTTCCTCATTTGTAAAGTGAGAATAAAAATTAGATCTAATTCCTCAACTTTTAAGTATTCCATAAGTATTGTACTCATAAGTATTAAATGCATATTTAATTTAAGATGCTTACATAGCAGTAGGCATATAATTCACTCTCAATAAAATAATAAATTTTGTTTTTCTATCATAATGCAATTCACCTCCTATTTAAGAAATTTCCTTTATAACATCAGTATCTGTGATCAACTCATATAACCTTGAGTATTATAAGTGACTTAACACTTTCTGGAAGACCCCAGGGCTGAGTTGGATAACCTAAATGGTTAAAAGTTTTATTTTTCGGAGGTGGATCCAAGATGGCCGTTTAGGAACAGCTCAGGATTGCAGCTCCCAGTGAAAGCGCAGAGGGTGAGTGGACGCCGTGTTTTTATTGCCCACAGACTAGGAAATTCCCGGGCAGAGGTGCTCCACGGTCACCAGCGCGGCTGTTTCGGCCAGCGCGGCTGTGCCGGCCAGCGCCGCTGCTTTGCCCCGCGCGGCTGCTTTGCCCCATGCA